TCTTAGCACCACATACAAATAAATAAAATAAAGGTGTATGAACAACTAAAAAAAAATATTAATAAAAAAAAGTAGGACTTGTGGTAACTGGTATCCCAGTACCACAAATAATGATGATAATGATAATAAAAGTTGGGTTAATGCCTGGGACGAAATAGAAATGTATCAGTTTATTTGTTGGATTATAATTTCAAAAATAGATATTGAGCAGGCTATTATGTATACAAATTAAACCAGGTATCTGTGACCCAGAAGGACAACGAAGATTCTATTGAATGTTCTTATCAAGAACTCAGCATTGCAAGGCTGGGGATATAGCGTATGTTTCATGCACAAGGCCCTAGGTTCTAACATCTTTGTTTTGTATGTGGTGCTGAAGATCGAATCCGGGCCGCACGCAAGCCAGGCGAGCGCGCCACTGCTGGAGCCACATCCAGAGCCCGGGACTATATCTTGAGCAGGGTATCCAGTGCTAAGATTTTTGCCTGAAGTTTGGCCAAGTACATTGTTTGGGTCCTGTCCCTTATGAGGGACGTCCTACTTAAGTGATGGAAAGGAATTCTTTCCATTAAGCTCTGTATCATATGATGGTGAAAATTGTTGTATGTGTATTCAGTGAACTCCTATTAGTATTCACTCAGTTTATACCAAGAGGTTTCCCATGTAGTTCAGGGATCTGAGGTACAGATATCCTCCTTCAACACTCTGACATGTGGCAAGGCACTGAGGAGAAGGGAGGACACCCTAATGTTCGGGTGGAATATATCAGAGGGCCTAGATTTGGTTGTATCCTGTATTTTTTGAGGGGAGTAGGGTAATTGGGATTGAACCCAGGGGCACGTTGTCACTGAGCTACATGCCCAGCCCTTTTTTATTTTGAAACAGAATCTTTCTCAATTATTTAGGGCCTCACTAAATTGGTGAGACTGGCCTAGAACTTGCAATCTTCCTGCTCACCGTCCCAAATTGCTGGGATTATAGGTGTGCACCACCACACCTGGCTATACGCTGTCTTAATGAGGCTCTGTAGCCATGTCAAGATTGTGGGGTGCAATTTTCATGATGGGAAGCTGGCTAATGAGGGTCCTGGGCTCAGGGTCTGTGAGAGCCTCAAATCTTCGAAGAATCCAGTAAGCAGTCAGTCATTGGTTGTTTGCATAGCATGAGACCAAGAGAGACAATTTCTTGTGTACAAAGTCTTAGAACAAGTATTGGCTATCCTGAGTGGTCCAGAGACTTATATAAGCATGAAAACAGTTCCTAGTGTTTTTATCATGAAGGATTTTCTTAATGTTCTAAAGGGAGCGAGTGTTCATTTTAATGCATAAGTAAAATTTGTAAATGAGGAATGTATTACCAACATAATTGAAAAAATTTAAAAGATATTGGACTTTTATATATTTAGTAAATGTGTTAGATGAATCTCCTTGGGAGGAGATGTCATTAATGTACTAGTGTTCCTGGACTACATTATGTATCATCAACATCATGTCTGCCAATTGCATAATGAAAAAGATGTTGATGTACTTCATGTTCAGCCTTCTACCAAAGGTATGTTGTGTCCCTTTGAAGGTGTATGCAACCTGCAGCTGAAAGCCTGATGCAACAGGCACTAAACAGAATTGATTAGCCAAATCTAAAAATCTTACTTATGGTTGATTAAATAGCATTAATAATTATAATAATTTTGGACATTGATTTAGCAGGCATTGGTGGATAGGATCACAGCATTATGTTTGTAGAAAACCATCATGACCCATGCTCTATTTTCTATATTTTTTGTGTATCTGTATCTACTCATTGATTCATTTCAGATTTAAGAACAGACAAAATTTGTCTTTCAAATGGAGACTCAGAGGGGATGATCACCTTTATTATTGCATTTATTGATTTACTTTTTTTTTTAAAGAGAGAGAAAGGGAATTTTTTAATATTTATTTTTTAGTTTTCGGTGGACACAACATCTTTGTTTTTGTATGTAGTGCTGAGGATCCAACACGGGCCGCACCCATGCCAGGCAAGCGCGCTACCGCTTGAGCCACATCCCTAGCCTCATATTGATTTAGTTTTTAATTTTGCTGTTCTTGAGATTAGACCCAGGACCTTCACATGGAAGACAAATGCTGTACAGCTGAGCAACACCCCCAGCTATACCTATTTATTAGGCTTTAACATAATGAGTTTTAGGACTTGAGACCCCTCTTTTAATTTACACTGGTTATGTTAACAATTTTAAATGAGGATTCATGGGGTCCCATTTTCTCAAGCCCACTTTTAAGTACCAAAGACTTTATTTTTCTTCTTTCAGAACATTTATGTCCAATATTAGAGCATTTTGAAGCAGTGACTAACTATGGAAAATTAAATCAAGGCAAAAGCTAAATGAAGACCTATACTTTTCTTTCTATATGAAATTAATTACCTAAGATTATAGCGGGCCAGGTGTGCTGGAGTCCTGCTGTAATGCCAGCCATAACAACTTCATGAGATGCTCATTAACTTGGAGAGACCCAGTATCAAAAAATAAAAAAGGCCCAGGCTGTAGATCAGTGGTTTTGTCCCTGGCTTCAATCCCAGTACCCATCCCACCACCAACAATAAAAGCAAAAAACAAAATAAAGAGGAAACAGGGTTTAAAATCAGTGGAATGCCCAGATGTAACCTTAATTTGAGCCCTACTATGATTAATTACATGAATTTTTGTCAATCAGTGGAGTTTATTATTTGTTAGAGTTCAGTTATATCTATGTGGTGGTATAAAAATCTGTCAGAACATTTTTTAAAATATTTATTTTTTTAGTTGTAGTTGGACACAATACCTTTATTTTATTTATTTATTTTTATGTGGCACTGAGGATTGCATCCAGGGCCTCACGCCTGTTAGGCAAGCGCTCTGCCACTAAACTCCAGTCCCAGCCCCAGAACATTTTTTTTTTAACTTTTTGTTATATAAATTTTTTTTCTTGGTACCAGGGATTGAACCCAGGGGCACATAACCATTGTGCCACATCCCCAGCCCTTTATTATTTTGTTATATTTTATTTTGTGACTGGGTCTCTCCAAGTTGATGAGCATCTTGTAAAGTTGCTATGGCTGGCTTTGAGCTTTCAATCCTCCTACCTGCTGCTTATTTTTTATTTTTTTCTGTTTTTTTTAATCATTCACAGTTATTTTAACTATTCCAATGAAAAAGGATCGTGCTTTACATTCAGTGGTTCTGTTGGTCAAAAATCATTTGAGCAAGAGTTTATTTCTGTCCTCTAGTCCATTTTAGCCTACATATGTGTCTTAATTTTAATTTGTGACAGCATCTATGCCCAATGCAGGATATTTTATGGCAATAGGAACTATGACCATGGGAAACTCAAGCAACTATATAGTTAAAATGGGGCATAACTATTTTTCCTATAAAAGTAGTTATTTTATTAAAATTATAATGTTTAACTTCAGCAATATATCCAGGTATAAATAGATGAGCCCCAGGAATCTATTGATTCTGGAGCTTAGTCAATTAGTGCATTTTAGCAAATGCTAAAATTAATTCAGAACCTATGTTGATATGTGCTTATTATTATATGTGAAAAATTGTATTCTATCAATAATTAATAATTAAAAAAAAATTAGTTGTAGTTGTCCATTGACCTTTATTTTATTTATTTATTTATATGTGGTGCTAAGACTCGAACCCAGCGTCTCACACATGCCAGGCAAGCACTCTTCCCCTGAGCTACATCCCCAGCCCTGTAAATGTTAGTATGTAAAATTTGAGTTCTGGGGCTGAAGTTGTGGCTCAGTGGTAGAGTTCTCGCCTAGCATGCATGAGGCACTGGGTTCGATCCTCAGCACCACATAAACAAATATTTTTAAAAATTTGAGTTTCAAATTCTGTAAAATTGTGAATCTGTGTGTGTCTGTGTGTATATATATATATATATATATATATGAACATGTTAAGTATAAATAATATATAAAATATTATATTTACTTATGTAATTTTTTTGTTATCTTTTATTTTCTATGTTGGAAATTTTGTCTTAACTTATTTTCTTTCCCTCCTTTTTTTCCTTTCCTTCCTTTTCTTGCATTCCTAGCTGCTTGAAACCATAGTGTTCAGTTGTTGTCTTTGCTGAAACTCAGGATGGTTACAGGAAGAGGGGTAGGGATAGGCCCCTGCTGCACTGCCTATAGGCAGCCTATTTTGTCCTCTATCTTTCCAATATGACTTTAGAAAATAGTGTTTGCTGAGAGAACTCTAATAGCCCTTCCTTAAGACAGCATAATTTTGTCTTTTGTTTGAAGTATCAGTTCTTTTCAAACAAAAGTTTTGTTTGAAACTTTTGGTTGTTTTTTTTGTTTGTTTGTTTTGTTTTTTTTTTAAGTCCCCAACCCTTTTGTTTGTTTCCTTGTGTCCTGGTTGGCCCAAGTAGCTCTGGGCATAGGTGATGGCCTCTTTCTATAGTTTGTTCCAGTTCACCTTTGAGGGGCCTGGATCTACTTTCAAGAGAGAGACAGGGGCCTTAAGAGTGTTTTCGGGCTGGGGATGTGGCTCAAGCCATAACACACTTGCCTGGCATGCTCAGGGCACTGGGTTCAATCCTCAGCACCACATACAAAAAAAAATATTGTGTCCACCGAAACTAAAAAATAAATATTGAAAAATTCTCTCTCTCTCTTTAAAAAAAAAAAGAGTGTTTTTCAACCTCTAGGACCTTACATAAGGCCCTTGGTTTACTCAAAGGCAGAGTATATAACTGAGGACCATGCATATTATCTGGGAATTTTATGTTCCTGAATCAACTGTGTGACATCCTGAGGGATCTTTGGTGGGCAAGGATATAGGGTCTTCTGCCCTTCTTTTTGGCTTATCATCCTGCCCCTGCTGTGCAAGAGTATCATACCTCACTGGGTCAGGGGATGAATTTTAACAACAACAAGGCAAGTAATAACTTGAGCTTACCTCTAGAACTCTTTAGGCTGGGTGCTATGGCCTAGTTCAGGAGTTCAACCATAATAACAGAGAAAAGATTACTAAGATAAGGTCTTACCTGAGATAAAATGTTACCCAAGCTAGGCATGGTGATGCATGCCTATAATCCCAGCAACTAGGGTGCTGAGGCAAGAGGATCACATGTTTGAGGCCACTAGCATTATTTTAAAATGTATAGCTGAAAGATTATGGGGAAAGCTGAATGTGTATAGCAGCAGGCCAAAAAATCAGGGAGTGTGGGATCCTGTCCCCAGCGACAAGGCACTTGATGCAGCTGCCTCCTAAGGAAGTAAATAATCTCCTTTAACTTTTGTGACCTGTGCCTGTTTTTCTTCTAGGTATAGAAGTTTAGGATTGTACATTTGTACAGAGTGCATGGATCATGGACTATGTAATGAGTTCAGGAAGAAAAGCCAGGTGAAGATTTTGGCATAGGGGTGAAGACTTCTTCAGCACACAAAGTCACATCATCTCCATTGGTGAGATTTAGGAAAATGGCCATGTTTTGGGGGATGTGGGACTGGGGTATGCTTTGAAGTGACAATACACTGGCCTTGATGCATTTGCCTAGTTTTGTTAAAACCATGGCTTACTGCAAAGATAGGGACTTCTGAAGTAAATGTTCAGAGAATTTCAATACAAAGTAGAAATGAATATTTCAGCACACTGAGCCATATACAAGCTTGGCATTGATGAAAAGAAGCTGCATGAACTCTACTAATGTAGCAGTGACAGGTAAGTCATCTACAGTGACTAGTGGAGTTCTTATATTAATTTTAAGTGCCTTGTAGATACACGGAATAGTCATTGGAGTTTCATTATTCCATTTAAAAGTTAAAATGAGCTCCCTTATGTTTATTGCATTGTACTGATATGTATGTCACATAACAGCAACCATTTTAACCTTCCTGGACCCTTCAATGTTCCCAACACATTTACCTTGCCATGCGCCATCACCACTATCCAGTTCCAGAACACTTCTGTTACCCCAAAAGACACTGTGTACCTGTTAGCCCTTAGTCCCTGTTGTCCCCTCCCCTCACTGCTTGGCAACCCCTAATCTCTATGGGATTGCCTATTCTGGACATTTAAATAAACAGCATGACTTTTTAAGTTTATTAACTTGATTTATGACTTTTAAATGTTTAGGCATGTGGTTTGTGGGCCTTTGATAAAAAAATTATTGATGCAAAAATTATTAATTACAATTTTCTGTTTTCCTTTACTCCTTTTAATGACTGAATAATCACTTACGTTTTGTAGCAGTTAAGTGAAACATTTCAAGTAGTACATGTACATGTCACCTGCAACATTTTCTGCCATTCTTGGAAGAGGCGTGTAGTTGATTGGACACAATTCATCTAGTGTTGTTCTTGCCCTTGGCCATTGGCTGCTCTCAGGTCCCCAATAGTTGTTGGTATTGCTGAACACGGAACATGTACATTCTGAGATTTTGCATATTTTTTTTTCCAAAGAAAAGGAGTGGACCTTTGAACCGTGGCCCAAGTTTGTTTTCATTTTTGTTGTCTTTGTATAGAATGCGGAGGGGAGGGGGTGAATGGGCAGGTCTTTTAGAAATATTGCTGATGGTGGAGACACTGTTTTAGAGAAAAGTCCTGGTGCTGAGAAAGTGGGTTGGTTTCCTTCCTCCTTGGCACTGAGGCAGTAACTGTGGAAGGCTCCTGCTCAAAAATGAGAAGAAGCAGTGGTAGTGTGGCTACAACCAGAGGATGGTTCTGCTCATCTCCCTTTCTTCTTCCTGGGTGTCTTGCTTATTTATGTTTTTTCTGTGCCACTTGTACAGGGACAGTCATGATTTTTTTTTCTAAGGTGTTTTTTTTTTTTTTTTTTTTTGGTAGTGGTGGTGCTAGAATTGAACCCAGGGCCTTATAAATGCTAGGCAAGCATGCTTTATCACTGAGCCACATCCCCAGCCCATGACTTTTTTTTTTTTTTTTTTTAATGTTTTTCTAGTTGTTGATAGACCTTTATTTTATTTCTTTATATGGTCCCCACACTCAGAGTGAGGGTGGCTCCTGAGCTGGGGTAAGGTATCATACAATCCAGGGTGACATGCTACAGGCCCAGGAAGGTATTCCAGGCAGCAGACTGGAGAGAAGCAATGACTCAGCTTGGCGCTACTTTCCCTGTGTTCCAGCAGTTGAGGCTGCCACGTGGACTCCTCTCCCTACACCTTGTGGATCTTTGCGCTGTGACTCAGGCCGAGCCAGAAATCCCAGCCCCTCCTCAGGGTCCACTTACTAAAGAGGAAGTCCCCAGTCCAGGCTGGCAGTAGCAGCCTCCCTGGTGTCCTGCTGCTGGCTCTGGCAAGGGCTCTGACAAAGGCTCTGGCTTGTTTACGGGCATGAGGAGCCACCTTTTCTGAGAAGGAGAGCTGGGGAAAAGGGGGACGCCAGGGGCCCGCTGGTCCGGGTTAGCGCTGAGGTGTAGGCTGCTCTCCAGTGCTCGCTGGCTCGCAGCACTCTCCAGCAGCAGCCATGGAGCTATGAGCTCATCAGGCTCCTCCCTCTGTGTAGGTTTCCCGCCTCTCGACAAGGACAGGGGTGGGGGCGGGGAAGAGCGGCGCCTACTGATGACACAATCACTCAGCGACCGCTCTCCTCCCCCGCCCTCTGCCTTCCGCCTGCAAGGACATTTTTATAATTTTTTTTTTTTTTTTTTTTGAGAGAGAGACAATTTTTTTTTTAATATTTATTTTTCAGTTCTCGGCGGACACAACATCTTTGTTTGTATGTGGTGCTGAGGATCGAACCGGGCTGGACGCGTGCCAGGCGAGCGCGCTACCGCTTGAGCCACATCCCCAGCCCCAGAACATTTAAATGAGGGCTATGTTGCATCTGAGATTAGGAAATACTAAAAAACCTTGACTTTATATGTACTTCGTATGTGTGTCAGACAAAGCTGCCTGGAAGAGGGTGTTCTTAACGTATCCTGATTCCTCATCGAGTTCCAAAAGCAGCTCCGATTTTAATAATATTGACTATTGTTTAGGGAGGCTTTAAGGATGGAATCAAAGTATTAAGGTTTGGGTAAAGCACCATAAAGCACCTTTTATTTCTTTTCTTAAAAAACGATTGTATCGATGCATTATAGTCAGAGTTTATTTTATTATAGTAGAGTTTATTTTCACATAATCATGCATGCATGGAATGTAATTTGCTCCATTTTAGTCCCAGGTGTGCCCTCTTTCCCTCTGCTACCCTCTTATTCATTTTACTTGCTTATTATTTCAGATTCAAGAAGACCAAATTGGCCTGTCAAATGAGAAAACAGACACTAGCATCAAGTCCTTCTTAATTAGCTAGGTATGTTTTTATGCTCAAAAGTCCTGTATTAACTTAATAGAGCCATTGAACTGTTTTAACCCAGTGTAAATGAGATCCCATTTTATCAAGCTAATTTGTAGATGCACAAACTTACTTCAGTATATTCTTTGTGTCAGAGTATATATGACCAATATAGAAATTTTTGGAACAGTGAGTATTATGAGTGTGGGAAATTTGGGGAAGGCAGCCATAGCCGTTTTTTTTTTTTTTCTGTATTATATTTAGTTACCTGTTGAAGATTGAAAGCTGCAGAATTTTAAAATTTCATGGGATCCCAGGTGTACCTTTTTGGAGCCCCAGTATTATTAGCCAAGTGAATTTTTGTCAATTGGTGTAGTTTTTCGAAAGTTAGTGTTTAGACACACAGTCAATCAGCACTTTGTTTTTCCCTTTTTCTTACATAAATACATTACATAAATATATCTTTTGTATATAAACTAGTACATGAATTTTGAATATTCAGTTGGACCAAACTAGGTTAATTTGTTTTATTTTAATTATGATTTGTTCCTACTGGAAAACAATTTATCATATTGTTTATATTAAACTTCTTTATATATATACACACACACAATTTTTGTCTTTTATCTTTTTTTTAGTGTTTATGACTTAATAAGTAATTTATGTAGTCTAGTCCTAGCATTGTGTTCTCTATACGTGGTGATCCCTAAGTACTAAAAGTTCCCCTTATTTTTCTCCTTGCTTTGTAGCTGGCTTAAGTGGCAGCCTTTTTTCCTTTAAACATTTTTTAATGTGTTTTAGGATTTTATCTGACAGAAGTTCTTGTTTTAAGTTTCTTTTTCTGATTGAGAAGAGGAATAGAGCCAAGGGAAAAGGATCTGTTGACAATGAGCAGCAGCCCTCCCTACCACTATACTCCATTCCCTTCCCCCCACTTCTTCATCTTTTAAGTAAAGGCTTTAAAATAGCTTATATTTCTGTGCAGCTAAAACTTTTCCCCTTTGTCTTGGGATGCTTCCTTTGTCAATTCCTATTGTTTAAGTGGAGCATGTAGTGAGCATTTCTCGTGGTTTATGGTCCCCTTCCTATGCAGCCATGTCCTCTCCTAGGACCACCCAGTTGACCACTTTTGGGTTTGCAAGGCCCTCCTTGGGCTATGACATCTGAGTCTTTTGCCAAGCTTGCAAGAAGTTTCCTGCTCTGAGAGGAGCCCAAGGACAACGGATGTGCATTTACATTTCTTTATTTTGCTAAGCGCTTCTCTGTGGGTGACAATGGGTTTTCCTGGCTTTTAAATTAAGCCTTTTGCTACTCACACCAGGTGTTTGTGCATAGGGGGATGGGTGTGGGGGGATGAATAGCCAATGAAACAAAAGAAGGGGTAAAAGCTGCAGTGCCACTGGAGACCAATAGATGGCAGCATGTCCTTAGTAATGGGAAACACGTGTTAGCCTGAATTTCTGACCCATGTCCAGTTTATTTTTGCCAGGATAGCCACTCTGTAGGAGAACCCTGGACAGGAGGTGAATTTGATTGGGGTGTTTCAATGAGGCAACACACTGAGGAGGCAGCACAATCACACAGACTCGAATACAAACATGAAGGAGCAGTTTTTATTGTTTTATTATTTTGAAATCCTAAAGAGGGCTGGGGATGTGGCTCAAGAGGTAGCGCGCTCACCTGGCATGCGTGCGGCCTGGGTTTGATCCTCAGCACCACATTCAAAGATGTTGTGTCCGCTGAAAACTAGAAGATAAATATTAAAAAAAAAAAAAAAAGAAAGAAAGAAATCCTAAAGAGAAGTGGGCAGCAGACTTTGCAGGACCATCAGTAAGAGTGCATTCTTGTGGGACATGCACACTCGAAAAGAAGGTGAGGAGCAAGAGAGACAGAGATTGACTTAAGGCCAAAACATTTGTTGAAGTTCATGGTTTTTAATTCAGGCAAGTTTCCTGAGTGGAGCTAAGATTGATAGATCATAGTAAGTAGACAGGAGCTCCCTGGAGGCCACAGTGACTTGAATAGGAGTTTCTTTGGCACATCTGCAGAGTTCTTGTGGGATGTGAACATGACTGGATGAGTCAAATAGGTTGTTTTGAGCTGTAGCAAAGGGAGATGATTATTAGGAGATGGTCTATAAGGTAGATTTTTGGAATGGTCTTGTTGAAGAACTAAGAGGATAGGAGAACTAGAAGCTGAGTTAAGGGCATGTAAGCCCTGCTTCTAGTATGGGAAAGGTCAACTTAAATTTAAAATAGAAGCCAAAACCATCTAAAATTCTAAGAATTCACCAAATTGTTTGCCATAGGAGCCGCACCATTTTTCATATCACCTGTGCACAAGAGTTCCAATTTATAAATCTAAGCGAATATGATCAATAGTTAATGAAATACCATGTAATTGCCCACTAGAGTGATTTTGTTACTGAAAGCTTAATCCTTATCCTGATGCCAATCCAATAGCAAGGACGTCATTTTGAGAAAAAGGAAAAGGAAGTTTTATTGCTTTGCTAGCAAATGAGAAACACAGAGGACTTTTGTCCCAGAGGCTGTGATTCTGTGCAAGAGGGCTTTTAAAGAGATGATTCAAAGGCTAAATTTCAAATGTTTTCTGTCCAAGAGTTTTAATTCACTCGTTAATTTGGGAGATAGTCATTTCTGAGGTCTTCTGGTGGTAGCCCCAAAGTCTGGATTACTTTGTTTCTGTGGTGGGTGTGTGCCCCCAAATAAGTAATTCTTTATACAAAAAAAAAAAAAAAAAAAAAAAATCTTTATTTTTTAGTTATAGGTGGAGACAATATTTTATTTTTATGTGGTGCTGAGGATAGAACCCAGTCCCTCAAGCCTACAGAACACTCTACCTCTGAGCCACAACCCTAGCCCACAAGTAATTCTTTCTAGGATGGGGAAGAAAGTTAACCCTTTTCCTCTTGAGATTAGGAAGGAAGAGAGATTAGAGAAGAAAAGGGAGTGAAACATGTCCTTTTAAAAAATAAGTTGCAGTAGCAGTGCAGCTGGCGCTATATGCAAAGCCTTTTAAAGTGGACCACCACCATTAGAGTTTGTATGTGTGTTTTGTTGTTTTGTGGTCTTGATGGAAGTTTAGGTTCAAATGAGTATAATTTCACATGTGCTGCAGCCTGACCTGTGGGCCTATGGCTTTCCACATAGTATGTGAACTACAATACTATTCACTCAGTTAATCCCAAAGGATTTTCTGGTAAGCATATTTTCTGTGGCCCCAGGTGGCTAGGCAGTATTATGACATCTAACAAAAGTCTGAGGCCAGGGGAAGCCACCCTCTCTTCCTCTTATGGTCTGTCAGAGGGTACATATTTTGCCTAAGTAGCCATGAAAAGTGTGGGTTGCTCTTTCTATTTCCCAGAGCATAGTGGGTATGAAGGGTGCCAGGCTTAGGGTTAGAGTTTCTGTTAACAACATAGCCAAGGAGGCAGGCAGCCAGTCATATGCTGCTTCAATGGTGCAAAGACTAATTTGTGGGGTACTTAAATTAAATTTTAAATGGTTTCTAAGCAACGCAGTTTAGAAAACAAGGGTGCACTCAAAAGATCCCAGAAACCCGAACACAAATGAGAAAAGGAAGAATGGTCTTATTACTTAAGAAGGAATATAGCAAATAAGCATTGGAGCCAGGCACAGAAGGGTACATCTGTGATCCCGGTGACAAGACTAGAGGATTACAAATTCAAGGCCAACCTCAGCACTTCCTGAGGCCCCAAGCTACATAATGAGATCCTATCTCAAAATAAAAAGTAAAAAGGGCTGGGGATATACCTCACTGATAGTGCGTCCTAGGTTCAATACCCATCTCCCCCATGACAGAAACATAAAATAAAAAATAAGTATTGTACTTTAATTATTTAACTATTGTACTTAGAATGAGCTCCTTTTTTTTTTTTTTTTTTTTTTTTTTAAGTTTAACCCAGAGGCACTTGACCACTTAGCCACATCCCGCCCTTTTTTGTCTTTTATTTAGAGATAGGGTCTCACTGAGTTGCTTAACACCTTGCTAAGTTGCTGAGGCTGGCTTTTTGAACTCTTCCTGCGTCTGCTACTGGGATTACAGAGTGCCCTTCCTTAGCTCTTAAAAATGCTTATTATTTATTTATTTATTGAGACAGGGTCTCACTAAGTTGCTTAGGGTCTTACTAAATTGCTGAGGCTGGTCTTGAACTTGCATTCCTCCTCTCAGATCCCCAAGTTGCTGGGATTACAGGTGTGTTCCCCTGCACCTAGTGAACTCCCTTATTTTTATACTAGTTTATTGCCAAGTGTACACTTCAGTGGTTCCCAGCACACCCACCTGGCCATGTAGCCATCAACACTATCCAGTTGTAGAACACTTCCTTCACCAAAAAGATACTGTGTACCTATTATCAGTTAGTCCCAATCATCCCCTTCATTCATTGCTTGGTAACCACTCATCTACTTTGTCTATGTGTTTGGGTATTCTGGACATTTTGTATAAACAGAATCAGTATGTGGCCTTTTTGTAACTACTTTCCATTGCATAATGTTTCCGAGGTTCATTTACAGTGTAGCATGTAACAGTACTACATTCTTTTTCTTTCTTTTCTTTTTTTTTTTTAAACAATTTGTTAATGTTATGGTTTGGATATGAGGTGTGCCCCCCAAAGCTCACGTGTGAGACAATGCAAGAAAGTTCAAAGAAGAAATGATTAGGTTGTGAGAGCCTTAATCCAATTAGTGCATTAATCCCCTGATAGGGATTAACTGAGTGGTAATTGAAGGCTGGTAGGGTGGCATTGGGGGCCTAGGTTTGAGAGTATACATTTGTATCTGGCAAGTAGAGACCTGTCTGTTTTCTGATCATGATGTGAGCTGCTTCTCTCCACCACACTCTTCCGCCATGCTGTTCTGTGACCCCGAGGAATGGAGCTGGCCTTCTATGGACTAAGACCTCTGAAACTGAGCCATAAAATAAATTTTCCTCCTCTACAGTTGTGGTCAGGTCATTTAGTCACAGCAGCAAAAAAGCTGACTAAAACAGTTAATTTATTACTTTTAAACGTTTAGACACATGGTTTATAGGCCTTTAAAAGACTTTTTATTGGTGCATTAGAGTTATATAATATTGGGATTCCTTTTTCATAAACATGCTCACAATGTAACAATATAATTTGGACCATTTTAATTCATTCTAATTTATTACTGAATACTCATGTTTTATAGCAGTTAGGTGAAACATTCAAGTGTACATAATACCACTTGAAAGATTTTCTGCCATTCTTGAGGTCTATAGGTGTCTGGACATGTATCATCTGGTATCATTTTTTTTTTTTTTTAGAATTTGTTTTAAATTTTTTTTTAGTTATAAGTGGACACAATATCTTTATTTTATTTTTATGTGGTGCTGAGGAAAGAACCCAGTGCTTCACGCATGTGAGGCAAGCGGTCTACCACTAAGCCACAATCTCAGCTCCTGTCTTTATAAAGTTTAATTGACTGGGGTACCTGGTGATGTTCTGTCCAAAGGGCTTATATAGCTTCAACCCTGTGGCCCTGTTGATGACATTCCAAGTAGCCTTTCTAATTGGCTTGTCTTGGCTCCATTCCTGCAGGTTTGGTTAGCGGATGTTGTACTTTAGGGTCAATAATGTCTTTACAACAACTACAACTTCCTTAGCCTCAGTTTATCCCTGGCCCTTAAAGTCAAATCTTTTTGCTCTGCTTTCTGCTCCTAATTATCAAAATAAATTTGGCTAAAAACTATCAGCAATATCCATGCCACCGCCTGAATGCTATGCTGCCTAGACATTTCTTCCACCAGATAAAGGAGTCCATCACTTTTAAAATCAGCCTCACAGAAAGTCACAGGACATGAGCAAAATGCAGACAACATCTCAGCCAGAATGTTACACAAATGGCCTGTAGTACAATTGCCAAGAATATTCTCCTTTTCTTCTAAAACCTCATGAGCCCAGACTTTATTGTGCACAGTTCTATTGCCATTCTGGTCTTCTGAGCTCCCGGCAGAACTGGCCATTAAGTTCCGCTACAACATTTCCAGATTGCACTGCTAAGTTTCTCAAAATTCCTCCCACCAATTTCAAAAAGCTCCAAAAGCTTCTGAACCATATGGTCAGGTTAGGCACAGCAATGACTCCACTCTCAGTTACCAATTTCTGGTTTAGTCAGTTTTTTTTTTTTTTTTTGCTGCTCTGACTGAAAGATCTGACAAGATCAACTTTATTTGTTTATTTATTTAATATTTCTTAGTTGTACATGGACACAATATCTTTTTATTTATTTTTATGTGATGCTGAGGATCGAACCTACTGCCTCACTAATGCTAGGCAAGTGCTCTACCACTGAGCTACAACTCCAGCCCCAAGAACAACTTTAGAGGAGAAAAAGTTTATTTGGGGGGCTCACAGTTTCAGAGTTTTCAATCCATAGTCAGCCAGCTCTATTCCTCAGGCCTTGGGGTGAAGCAGGACATAATGTCAGAAGATTGTGGTAGAGGGAAGCAGCTCACATGATGATTGGAAAGCAGAGAGAGGGCAGGAGACTCCACTAACTAGATACAAAATGTATGCCCCAAAGGTGCACCCCCAGTGACCCACCTCCTGTAGCTGCTCCATACCCATCTTCAGTTACTACTCAGTTAATCCCTATCAGGGGATTAATTCACTGATTAGGTTAAGGCTCTCATAACACAATCATTTCTCCTTTAAATCTTCTTGTATTGTCTCACACATGAGCTTTTGGGGGATAACTGACATCCAAACCATAATATTTACCAATGTAATTTAAAAAATTTTTTTTTAGTTGCAGAGGACACATATCTTTATTATACTTATTTGTTTTTATGTGGTGCTGAGGATCGAACCCTGTGCCTCATGCATGTGAGGCAAGCACTCTACTACTGATCTACAACCCTATTCCCCAATGTAATTTTTTTATTACCTTTTATTTTTTTCCCTTCTATGTGGAGGATCTTGTCTTTTCTTACCCCCCGCCTGCCCCCGCCTTATCCCCTTTTCCTCTGTATCTTATACTTGTAGCTGCCTGAAACCATAGTAGTTGTCTTTGCTGAAACTCAGTATGGACATTCTAAGTGGTTACAAGAAGAGTGGGGTAGGGCAGGTGCCCACTGTACTGCGTATAGGCAGCATGTTTGTTCTCTGCCTTTCCAATATTATTACTTTTCGAAATAGTGTTTGCTAAGAGAACTCTAATAGCCCCTCCTTGGGAGAGCATAGTTTTGTCTTTTGTTTGAAGTATTAATTTCTTTACAATGTGTGTGTGTGGGTGTGTGTGTGTGTGTTTATGTCCTCAATCCTTTTGTGTTTGTTTCTTTGTGTTCTGGTTGGCCCAAGTGGCTCTGGGCATAGGTGGTGGCCTCTTTCTATATATAGTTCCAGTTCAGCTGTGAGGGGCCTGGATCTACTTCCAAGAGAGACAGGGTCCTTAAGAGTGTTTTGAACCTCCAGGTCCTTACATAAGTTCCTTGTTTTTCTGGAAAAGCAGAGTATACAACTGAGGTTCATGCATATTATTTGGGAATTTTATGTTCCTGAATCAGCTGTGTGACATCCTGAGGGATCTTTGCATAAAGGTCACAAAGGCCCTCTTTCATCTGGGTCCTGCCCTGATAAGGGTAACTTGTATTCTTTTGATCAGTGGAGGTACAGATCCAAAAAAGAATCTGAACTCCTGAGCCCTAAGAAGGAAGAATAACCCTGAAGATAACATGTAGTCATGGGTTGTGATATATTGCTATCTTTTTAACCCAAAGCTGGATCTTAATGGCCTTGTGTGAGATTCTTAAAGGCTGAGAGTTAGCAAGTAGTCTCAATGTAAGAAATTAACTTTTTTTTTTTGTCTTTGGGACCAGGAATTGAACCCAGGGGTGTTTAACCACTGAGGTACATCCTTAGCATTTGAGACTGGGTCTCAAATTTGCTTAGAGTCTCACTAAGTTGCTGAGGCTGGCCTTGAACTTGCAATCCTCTAGCCAAGGCCTCCTGAGTCCTTGGGATTATAGGCATGCTCCAGGACACCTGGCTGAAATTCAACTTTTAAACTGCTTGGTCCCACTGCTCAAATCTACTTGCTACCTAACACCATTATAGTGACTCTGTGTTGATCACAACACAGGAGAACCTCCCGAGAGGGCTCTTTTTCCACTCCATAGGACAGACTGAGATGAGTCGAAAATAGCAGTGCAGTAGTTTATCCCATCTCTTCTCAGTGCATCCTGTGTACTCACCAATCCTGTCCTTAACAGTTGAGAAAAATCACACCTGAAGCCCTTAAGAAGAGTCTTTTATAAGTTGACCTTGTCAGTATTAACAAAGGGGTGCCCCCAGGAGTTTGAATCTGGATCTAGGCAAGTAACACAGCTCAGACCTGAACTTGTGGAGGACTCAAGTTTCAACTTCTGAATTTTCAGTGGAAATCCACAGCAACACCCAGACAGTGTCACAGTGCAAAAGTGTAACACAGTGCAAAAGTGCAACAGCCTGAGAATATGCCACAATCTGTTGGTACCTGCTTGCAATATTCATAAGAAAAGTCTTGGAACATACCATCCCACTGTGATGCTAAGGCACCCTCTTCCTTTGCACCACTTTTTCTGAAAATATAGATTTTATTACTTTTTAGGAATGATGATTCCAAGGAATGAGGAGATTATTGCTATTGAAAATCTTTTTTATTGTCACAGATCTTAAGAAGAGAGGACATGCCACCCAGTGAGGGAGCAGATGGGCAAGCGCTAAGGTCATCCACAACTTGAATGGAGAGGCAAGAGCTTTTATTGTCATCTGGAAGGAAAGGAATGGGCAAAGCCGAGTAAGAAGGATTCAGATTCCTTAGATTTAGTAATTTCAGCAGGCTCCAGGGCATAAGGGCTAGGTTGGTGATACCTGGACCTAGGGGCGTCAGGTAGGTGAACAGTGGCCCATAGTGTGAGAAGTCAATAAAGGAGGTAGCTGGAGTTGTAGGTCTGCAGTGGTTGCTGTGATATGACATCCACTATTACAGGCCAGTTGTTTATTTTCTCTGGGAACTGCTTAGCCCTGGAAAGGGACAATCCTCCAAAGTCAGCCCAGGCAGAGATATCAGACATCAGAATACAGGAAAGACATGGTTCATACAATGGGCCCTGGGATGCTTTGACCTTTCATTAAGGAATTATTGGAGTGATGAGAGACAAAACCTTTATAGCTTTACTCATGTTTCCTAGGCATGTCTCAACCCCATCAAGATTATAATCCACATTAACCATGACAAGTATTTATATCCATGAGAACCCAGTAGACAACCTGTCATTATTGCTTTGATGGTGTTTAGCATGAGACCAAGGAGCAAGTTCTTGCGTAGGAAGCCCCAAGGCAACTATTGGCCATTATGAGTGGTCCAGAGATATTTCATTGCCAAAGCTTTTATTTTGACAGAGGTTTGGGGATTTTGTTGTTGTTTGTTTCTTTTCTTTCTTTTTTTTTTTGCATCGTGTGGAATCATTTTTTTTTATGTTTCCTTAGCCAAATCCTGTTGTTTATGTGGTGCCTGTTTGAGCATTTCTGGGTGGTCCTTTTTATGCAGCCATGTCCTCTTCTAGGACCACCCTCTTGACCAAATCAATTGGAATGCCTATTGATTTTAATTCATAAGTAAAATATGTAAATGAAGACCAGAATATGTTGCAACCAGTGGCCAAAAAGTGCTAAGAAAAGACATTGGGGATATATATTTGTGTGTGTGTGTGTGTGTGTGTGTGTGTATATATATATATGCTTAATGAGTATTTCAGATAAATCATCATAGAAGAGAGAACCCTTAATGTGACATAGCTTTTCTGATGCTGCAACTAAAAGAACCCGACATGAACAACTGTAGAAGAGGAAAAGGCTCAATGCATAGAAGGCTGGCTCTACTCCTTGGGGCTCGCGATGAGGCAGAACATCATGGCAGAAGAGTGTGGCAGAGGGAAGCAGCTCACATCATGATCAGTAAGCCTAGAGAGACTCCCCTTGCCATGTTCAAATATATACCCCAAAGTCACAACCCCATTTCCCTCCTCCTTCACCCTACCACTTCAGTTATCACTCAGTTAATCCCTATCAGGGGATTAATTCACCAATTGGGTTATAACTCTCACAATCCAGTGATTTCTCCTCTGAACCTTCTTGCAGTGTCTCACACCCTAATCCTCACCCTAACCCTGAACCTAAACCTAACTCTAATTCTAACTCTAACCATAACAGATGTCATGCCTGGGTTCCTGGAAGAAGGTCCATGTTATCAAGATCTTATATGCTGAGGTTGTGGGTAACAACAAAGGTGCTCTTATATCTATATAGCCTAGAAAAGGTGAGTTGTATCCCTTTGGAGATAGAGGCACCATGCAGCTTCAAAGCTGCAGGAATAGTCACTGAACGAAATAGTTTATCCAAATCTATCGTACAGTATATTTATTAGTGATAGAACAGATGTAGCCAGCAATTTTAATAATACTGAATTTTAGTTAGGAAGTCTTTGATAGATGGAAACAAAGCATTAAGTCGTAGTAAAGAATCATGAAGCACCTTTTATTTCCTTTACTTATGTATTTATTTGTTTCATCTTTAAAAGAGATGAACTTGGTTAGTCAAATGTAGAACCAGCTGATATAATCTACTCCTTATTAATTAAGCTTTGTATAATTAATTTTTTACTCAAAAGCCCTGCTTTGACTTCATACAAGTAGGAAAATTGAACTATTTGATATGAGTGTTGGGGATATAGCTCAGTTGGTAGAGTGCTTGCCTCAAACGCACAAGGCCCTGGGTTCTAATACTAAGCACCACCAAAAGCAACAACAACAACAAAAAAAGAGTTCTGGAGTATTTAGGGAATCCAATTTTATCAAGGTAATTTGTAAGTGCCAAAACTTATTTCAATCTTAATATATTATTCACAATGTTGGACTATTTATGTCTAACAAAATATTTTTAATCAGTGACTATTATGATTATAGTAAATTTAGGAAAGGCAGGCGTAGCCATTTTTCTCTATTAAATTTAGTTACCTCTTTAAGATTGGAGGCTATAGCTGGGCACAGTGGTGCAGGACTGTAATCCCAGCAGTTTGGGTGGCTGAGGCAGGAGAATTCGAGTTCAAGGCCAGTCTCAGCAATTTAGACAGGGCCTAAGGAATTTAGCAAGACCCTATCTCAAAATACAATATGAAAAAAGGGCTGAAGTATGTGGTTCAGTGATTAAGTACTCCTGAGTTCAATTCCCAGCACAAAAATAAAGAGAGAAAGAAAAGAAAAGGAAAGGAAAGGAAAGAAAAGGAAAGAAAAGATAGATAGATAGATAGATAGATAGATAGATTGATTGATTGATTGATTAGAGGTTCTTTTTGGTACCAGGGATTGAACTCAGGGGCACTCAACCACTGAGTCACATCCGCAGCCCTATTTTGTATTTTATTTAGAGACAGGGTCTTGCTGAGTTGCTTGGAACCTAGCTATTTCTGAGTCTGAGTCTGGCTTTGAACTCACAATCATCCTGCCTCAGCCTCCCAATTTGTTGAGATTATAGGTGTGTGCCACCACGCCAGGCAAAGCTATTTTTTTAAAATTTTCTTTAGATTTTTATCTACCTGCTGTTATTGTTATTAGTTTCTATTTCTGAATGGAAAGGGGAATAGCAAGATGGAGAAGGGACCTGGTGACCCTGGGCAGCAGCCTTTCCTTGAGACATCTCCCCCACCAGCAAGACCTCAACTTCCTCAACTTTTAAGTAAGTCTTTAGAATGTTTTATATTTTTAGGCAGCTAAACAAATTTTTCCCCTTGTCTTTGGATGTTTCCTTAGCCAATTCCTGTTGTTTAATTGGTGCCTGTTTGCGTATTTCTGGTGGTCCTTTTTATGCAGCCATGTCCTCTTCTAGGACCACCCTCTTGACCAAATTTGGGTTTGCAGCAACCCCCAGTGTGCAATGACAGCTGAATCATTTGCTAAGGTCATTGGAAGTTCTTAGCACTGAAGAGAGACTAAGGACCAGGGATGCACATTTACATTTCTTTATTTTCCTAAAGACTTCTGGAAGAGGTAACAATGAAATAGTCCTGCCTTTTTAACTGAAGTCCTTGCCACTGCACACCAGGTGTTGGCATATAGGGGCATAGGTGAGGGGAAAAAACAAGAGAATGGGTAGAAGTTGCAGGGCCACTGCAGACAAATAGTTGGCAGGAAGTCCCCAGAGGTGGGAACGCATTTCTACCAGGATAGCCACTCTGTAGTAGAGCCCTGGAAATGAGGAGAATTTGAAAGTGTTATTTCGGTCGGGCAGGACACTGAAGAGGGGAAAAAAAAAGACTGAGGACAAAGCATCAACACACACACACACACACACACACACAATACACATGCACACACAGAACACACACACACAAAGTTAAAAGAATAGTTTTTATGACTTTGAAATCCTAAAGAGAGCTGCACCTCTTCCAGGAGCATCAAGATGAGTGCAGTTTTCTGGGACATGCACACTCAACCATCCCATGGGGAGCAAAAGAAATAGACAGAGGCCTAAATCCTAAATTAGTTAGGTCCCTAAAGAGGCAGATTTCCTGAGTGAATCTGTAATTGTTTAAGGTATACAAGGCTATGTGTGGATGAGTCAAGTAGGTTGTATTGGAGTGTTCTTTAAAGAGATGGTTACTAGGAAATGGTTGTATAATGTAAATTTCAGTAAAAACTGGGAGGGGAAGAGAATTGAAAACTGTGCTAAGGGTATCTAAGCCCTATTTCTGGTATGGGCCAAATCAACTTAAATTTAAAATGAAGCCAAAACAATCTAAAATTACAAATATTGGCCAACATATTGTTTTCCATAAGAGCTGCACCATTTTTCATTCGTAGCACCTATGCACAAGAATTCCAATATCTCAGTCAGGTGAGGTGGATGGCAACAATGAGGAAGGTTGAGACAGGCCAGTGTGAGCAACTTAGGGAGACGCTGTCTGTAAATTAAAAATAAACAGGGCTTGGGATGTAGCTCTGTGGTAAAGCACCCTGAGTTCAATCCACAGTACAAAAATAAAAATAAGATAGAATTCTAATTTCTCCAATTTTTTATGAACAATTGTTATGTTTTTCTTCTCTCCTTCCCCTCTCTCTCTCTCTCCCCCTTTTTTTTTTTTGTTAGTGTACTTGTGTGTACAAGGCACCATTATGTGTGTGAGGCAAGATCTCATTGTCATTTTGTTTGAATTTTCCTTAAAATGATTTTAGTATTCTTTATATTGAGTCTCTTCTCATGTGCCTGTTGACCTTGGGTGTATCTTTTTTTGAGAAACATGTATTCATGTCCTGTGTCGTTTTAAATTTTTTTTTTGTGATTCGTTTTTTTTCTATGTCCTTTTTAAAAATCAGAGTATTTTGTTGTTGTTTATTTGTAAAAGTTGTTTATGTCTTTGTATTTTCAGAGTTTGTCAGATATATAATTATGAAATATTTCCTCCCATTTTATAAATTGTCTTTTCATTCTGTTATAACCATTCATTCACAGAAGTGAGACATTTTGATGTCAAACTCGATCATTTTTAGTTTTACTATCTGCATATCAGTATTATATGCAAAAAATCATTGCCAAAACCAAAGCCATGAAGTTTTGCCTGATACTTTATTATGAGAATTTATGGTTTTAGTCCTTATATTCAAGTCTTTGGTTCATTTTGAGTTCATTTTTATATATGGTATAAGGTAAATGGACAGTGCCATTCTTGTGTATATGGATATCCATATTTCTCACCGTTTGTTGAAACTAAAAGACAGTTCTATCCCCATGCAACGGTGCTGACACTCTAGTAAAAAAAAAAAAAATCATTTAAATGTGTATGCAAGAGTTTGTTTCTGCCTTCTATTCCATAAGCCTACATGTGTTGGTCTTTATGTTTTCTTTTTATTTTTTAAATCTATTTTTATGTGTTGCTGAGGATCGAACCCAGTTCCTCACATGTGCTAGGTGAGCACTCTACCACTGAGCCACAACCCCAGTCCCTGGTCTTTTTGTTTAATTGACTTTTTATAATAAGTTTTCATCTTTAATGTCAGTGTTTTAACTTTCAAAGTACCATATTAGCTATTTTTTATGGGGCTTTTTGGGTCCCATTTTATCTAGTTATGAGAAATTGACAATCCTGGTGGTCCATTTTCAAAATACAGTATTTAACCTTAAATGCAAAATGACCTGGGATATAAGAAAGGCAGCCTGAGTGAAGAGCCGAATGGAAATTAACAAACAGTTAATACCTCAGTGTAAAATTTTACAGCTCCTTGACACACAGGAGGTGAGAAGGAGACCTGGCCTGATCAACTGAGAGAAGCTGTGTTCCTGTCAAAAGGCACTCAACCCAGAGGGCCTGTCCCACCACAAGGGAACACCACAAGAGAGGTGGGGACAAGTAGAGGATATATTTCTTTAAATAACCCAATAGGAAATAGTGAAGTTGGCTCCAACCAATGAGTAGTGGTCCAGTACCTTTTTTCCTTCATAGCTGTTCTCTCAAAGACAATGAGGTCTCCTCTGACCTATAGGCAAGGACCCAGTCCCCTTGTGTCAGAAATAAAAGCCAAGCTGACTGCCTGCCAGGGACCCTGCATTGGTTTAGATGGCTGTGGGCCCTTCTGGGCATGGAAGTAAACTTATTGCCCTGTTGACAGAGCTGATTAGTCTTGACTGTTTATTTTCATGCCCAGGACTCCCAATATTTCCAACACAGTAAAATGTATAACTGCCAAAGGTTTAATTTAATTTTAATTTGTCATTCATTGTGTGATAGCATCTATAACCCAGTGTGAGACATATTGCCACAATTGGTACCATGAGTGTAGGATATTGAAGCAACTATGCAGTTAAAATGAGGCTTAAAGGCTGGGATGTAGTTCAGGTGTAGAGCATTTGCCCAGCATGCTCAAGGCCATTGGTTAATCCCTAGTACTGAAAAACAAACAAATAAACAATGCTGAACTATTTTTCTTCTACTTTGTGTGTAGCTACTTTTCTAATATTATAGCAGACAAAATATTTTCCTTTTGTTTCAGATTCAGGTATATGTATTTGCACCCTAGAAATTGATCATGTCTGGAACTTATTAATTTAGTCCATTTAATTAATTATTTATTTAGATGCTTGGGATTGAACCCATGGACAGTTTACCAGTGAGCTGCATTTCCAGCCCTTTTGTTTGTTTTTTTGTCTTTTTCCTGGCGCTAGAAACCAGAGGCACTTTTCCACTGAAGTACATCTCCAGTCCTTTATATTTTTTATTTTGTTTATTTTTTTGGTGGTGCTGGGGATTGAACTAAGGGCCTTGTTCATGTTCAAACACTCTACCAACTGAGCTACATATTCTGCCCCGTATATATATTTTTTATTTTTATTTTGTGACAGGGTCTTCCTAAATTGCCATGAGAGTTGAGAGTCATGATAAGTTGCCAAAGCCTGCCTTGAACTTGGGATCCTAATGCTTCATTTTCCTGAGTCACTGGAATACAGGCCTGTATCACTGCTTCTAGCTTAATTAGTACATTTTAGCAAATGCTAATATTAATTCAGAACTTATATTGATATGTGGTTATTATATACAATTTCTTTTATAAAACTGTGCTATATAAATGTTAGTGTGTAAGTTTTGGATTTCTAATTGGGTCAAATGGAAATCTCTATTTTTGTGAATGCATGTGTTTTGGTCATCTATTTTGCCACTTTGTGACTAAAAGACCCAACCAGCACAATTGTAGAGCTGGAAAGGTTTATTTGAGGGCTCAGGGTTTCAGAGGTCTCAATCCATAGACAGCAGGCTCCATTCCTCAGGGCTCAAGGTGAGGCAGAACACCTTGGCCTAAGAATGTAGCAGATGGATGCAGTTCGCATGGTGATCAGAGAGAGGGAGACTCTACTTACTCTCCAGATACAAAATATGTACCTCATAGCCACGCTCCCAATCCCATTTCCTCCAGCTATGCCCTGCCAATTCAGTTACCACTCAGTTAATCCCTATCATCTGTTTGTGGAAAAAAATTCAGTATGAGTCTTCTAGTAGGTTACAGAAAGGGAAAGTAGAGCAGGTATCCTGTGACCTGCCTTTAGGCAGACTTTTCTGTTCTGGAGCTTTTGAAATTGCCTTTAGGGATTGGGGTTTACACTTATTGGTCTAGAAGCATTTCTTTTGGACAGGATGGTTTTCTCTTGTGTATCAGTCCCTTTTCATTGTTTCTTTCTTTTTTTTAAGTCCCCTTGTGCCTCCAACTGTTTTGCTTCTTTTATTAACCCCATAAAGTTCTGGTGTTTCCTAAGTGGATCTCTGCATGGGTGCTGGCCTCCCTCTGGTACTATGTCCCAGTTAATTTTTTTTAAAGGATTTATTCAAGTATGAAGAACAGAAATGTAACTCCTACAGCCACAACAAGGGACCCCAATAGTGGTTGCCCTCTTGTTGATTATTATTATTTTTTTTTTAAAGAGAGAGAGAGAGAGAAGAGAGAGAGACTTTTTAATATTTATTTTTTAGTTTTTGGCCGACACAACATCTTTGTTTGTATGTGGTGCTAAGGATCGAACCCAGGCCGCACGCACGCCAGGCGAGTGCGTTGCCGCTTTAGCCACATCCCCAGCCCCTTGTTGATTTTTTTTTAAAGATATTTATTTTTTAGTTGTACTTGGACACAATACCTTTATTAATTTTTATGTGGTGCTGAGGATCAAACCCAGGGTCTCGCACCTTCAAGGCAAGCACTCTACTGTTGAGCCACAGCCCCTCTTGTTGATTTTTGAGGAGCCCGGATCCTCTTCCAATACAGTGATGAGATCATTATTCTCGAGGCTCCAGATTGATAGCTGTTAAGCAAACGCAGTCAGTAAAGATCCATGCACTTTATCCGGGCATTTTACCTTCCTGAATCAATTGCATGATGTCTTTTGGGGTTTTAGGAGATTGAGGACATAGTCCCCTCTCACCTTTTCATTTTTCAGTAAGCATACTTGTGCTAATCACAAACGGTATGATCTCTTGTACGTCACTAGGTCAGGGGATAAATTACAACAGCAGCAAGACAAGTGATAAAAGTTTATATTCATAACTCTTTTCACTGAGTGCATAGCCTACTTCCTGAGTTTAAAACATCACACTGACTGTGTGTCAATCACCACATATAAGAGCTTCCAAAGAGGGTTCTCCTACTCAACAGGGCAGGGTGGGATGAATGGGAATCAAGAAATGCTACAGTTTGTCCTGACAGTTCTCCATGTTACCCTGTCAACTGGTCAAGTGCACTCATCTAGCTGGCCCCAAAATGTTGGGAAATAAATCCAAACCCACTTTATTCTGAAAAGCCTTTTTAAGGTTAACCTAGTCAATTTGAAAAGGGTGCCCCTAAGAGTATAATGTTCACATCAAAGCAAGTAACTCAGCTCAGACCATAAGTTGGGGGAGACTCAGTATTCAAGTTCTGCATTCAGGGTAGGAATCCACAGCAACAAACAGCATTTGCAGCCACAGTGCAGGCATGCAGCAGCAGCAGCAGCAGCAGCAGCCTGGCAGCATACCACAGCCTCCTGGGGCACGCCTGCACTATCAGTGAGCCATGAGGAGTCTAACAGCCTAGCATCCTGGTCAGTGGCCAAACCACCGTTTCCTACAATTGTTCTAAAATATAGGTTTTTGTTACCTTTTGGTAATGGGGATTCCAAGCAATCAGGAGATAGATTGCCACTGTGAAGACATTGTTTATACTCACAGGTCTAAGGAAGAGAGGGTGAGCCACCCCATGGCGGAACTTTGGCAAAGCACCAATATCATTCACAATAAGGCAAGTGGGGAGAGGGTTCATGTAGGCAGGAGCTTTTATTGTGGTCTGGATGGGAAGGAACAGGCAAGGCTGAGTAAGAAGGTGTAGGATTCCTTAGAGTTTGTAATATCAACACGCTCTAGGGCATAAGGCGGGGGGTGGGGTGGGGAGGTGCAGGGCTAGTGAATAGTGGCCCAGAGTGTGAGAGGCCACTGAAGTGGCTGGGACTGTGGGCTCTAGAGTGCTTGCTGTACAATATGATAGCCATTGTCATAGTACAATCATTGATGTCTGTTTAATCTGGCACACCCTGAGAGGGGTAAATCCTCCAAGGTCAGCACAGCTAGAGCCGTGCATGAGAATATAGAAATAATAAAAGGATATGGCTCACACTACTGGCCCTGAGATGCTTTGACCATATAAAATATATGACATCATTAATAGTAGCAAGTTAAAGGAATGATTGTGGTGGGGATGAATGTGTGGCAGGAGGTCACGGAGGAAAGCTAGTTCTTAGAGTATGGGAAGATACAAAGTAGTGAATGGTCCATTTCCTAGGGGTCAAGGAGCTGACTGATAGGTGATAGTCCCCAGGTGACTTCTGGGGAAAAACCATCCTCCTGCATTTTTGAAGTTATATTAATAGTAGTACATTCTCCCACATTTCTTTTTAGGCATGGAAGTGTACTTGTGTGTATGTTGGCAGAATAACGGTTATACCTAGGTCATGGGCTAAGCAAAGATAACACCGTAGAATCTCTAATATCAAAGTAGGAAAATAAAATAATGTCATGTATCCAATTTTGTCTTAAGAGAGGTAGTCCAAGGACCTTGTTGGGAGCCAGTGTTCACATCCAGGATAAAGTTATATCTGCTGCATTGTGCAAAGTCATCTTCAATAGTGAGCTCTTGGGCGGGTAATGTCATTATGGCTATTGGACTATCCAAGTGGATACCAACTCAAGCTAAGAGGGATCATATTTTGTTTATGTGTCTGGTTTTATGATGTTATAATGAGTTTAATCTGCTTGTATAACTTGAAGGTAATGTGGTTCCTGGTATCTTGACTTTCCAAGTATCTTTTAATTCAAGGAGCTTTTTGGTACATCATGCACAATTGTGACTTAAGCATGCATAGCAGAGCTCCACTGAGACAATTAAATTCCCAAGAAGATATGACAAAACATACACATTAACAATACTCTTAGGTTTTGCCCAGATGGTGATGAAAGGAGTTTATTTGCAAACAGCTTTTAAATCACTTGGTCTGATTTGGGTATATTTTTTTTAGTAGCATGTTAGGTCATTTGCAAATCACAATATTAAGACTCAAGTTTGTAGATCCAGCATTAAGCCAAAATTTGGCAAACTGCTGTGGGCCTTTGTTCAGTTTTCAGTTTGGTTGGTAACATAAGTTGTTGAGGTGTAGAGCTGAAGGGCCTTTCTTAGCTAAACTAGATTGGCATAAAGAGCCTCAGCATTTGCCATATCTGGTTGAAAAGATGAGTTGCTTTGAGGCATGTGGGCTTCTAACTTGCAAAGCAACGAAAGTATTGAAACCATCCAATAATAATGAGGGCAACAATCAACAGAATTGTTGAGGTTTACCTAAGAATTTCTTTTCGGGGAATATCGCAAGGCTGCCAGCACCTTGCTGGGGGTAATTTCTCCTGCCCAGGAGGGGGATAAGCCAACTGAAAAAATACAGTCTGAAATAAGTAAGACAAAGTCAGAATTATAGTTTTAGGAAGCATGGAGCGCCTGATAAGTCCAGCCCACACAGGAGCTGGAGCTGAACAATTAAAAAATGGCTCTGATGGTTTATTTAAGGGGGTCATCAAAGGCAGGGATAAGGTATCAGGGGTGGAGTCTTGCTTCATGATGTCTTACAGTCAACAGGTTGATTGGCATCTTGGCAGATCACACCCATCTCTGAGAAGCTGTGTGGCTACAGCAGGTCACCCCATCTCTGGAGCTCTGTGGGACCTGGCAGAGCTGAATAGGACTCACACCTATCTGGGCAATCTTACCAGCGGGATTGCCACTGTAAGTTCCCAAGTCCCACATTTTCCTATTCAATGAATTTCCATGCCAATTTGGTCCACACATAGTCCATGGATAGCTCTCAACAAGGGAGTATAGAAATTAAGGTCTAAGTGCATCCCATTTCAGATGAACAGCTGCCTGACCCATGAGATAATCTGTGGCTAATGGGTCCTAGGAAATTTTGCAAACTCAGTATGACCTCCAGCCTTCATGGGATCAGGGTAAGATAGAATATACAAAAAAAAAAAAAATGTAAACCTTATTAAGTGTCTCATATATAATGAATCCATATATAGAGAGCAGGAGTTGTGGAAAAGGAAGAGAGGCATGACATATCCCCCTTTAAATACAAGGAACGAGTCATGGGAAAGTTTTTAACATTGGTGGAGATTTGATACACCCAAGAAAACTAAATTAAGAGAGCTTCATTCCTGCAGGAAGATGGAGACCCACTGAAGTTGCCATTTGTCTGACTTGAATATGACAAGAAGTTATTTGAGACCATTAATTCTCTCAATTTAGCCAGCTTTCTAGGACCTAACAGGGGGCATGAAGACTCTATTGGATGTCTTTTTAAATTGTGTATTCTGAGAAGTGGAAACTGGTCTCTTAGTAATGTCTGTAAATCCTGAGAGGGTAGGGAATGTCCTTTTACCTCCTTGTTTTGTGACCTTAGAACACGTGGATGGTCAGGTGAATTTGCTTTAGTTTTGGGTATCTGTGAGGCTATTAACTATTTTAACCGAGGGATCATGGGATTCAGTTTCAT